AAAACTGCCTTTAAAGTTTTTCCACCATGTGCTCACAATGGGCCTCTGATCATGGTGAAGATTTATCTTCTATTCCCTCTTGTTCCTAGGACAGGCTTCCTCCCCTTAGTACAACATTGAGATTTAGGGTTGCAATACTCAACACATAAGACAAAGCCCTTTAAGCTTAATGTTTATATTTTTGGGGGAACAGGTCAATGTTGGAAGTCTGGGTAAATGTTGGAAGTCTGGGTAAAGTCAATTTGCTTTTCTTTTCCTTATAGAAAGTCACATCATCCAGCAGCCTGAAAGGAACACAGTCCCCTAAATGTCCAAGAAACTAAAGATGCATGTGCTAAGCACAGCCCTCAACATATACAGTGGGCAGCACAGTCTTTTGCTTGCTAGGGGCTGATTCTCAGAGACTGCTAAGGAGGGTAAAAAGTTTCAGCAGAATAAACCTGAATATTTACGAAAGAAAACCAAAGCATTTTAATTGGGCTTCCATCCCTTTAAACAATACCAGTCACAGAAATGTGGTTTCATAGTCATTTAAAATACAGTTTACAGAGGAATTAAGCTAAATCACTTAAGCTCTCCACGCAGCTGCATTTTCCCAGCTTCCTTGCTGAAGATCAGCTTTCAGAACATCTCCTTTGAAATCTGCAGCCCAGTCAGAGACAGGAGTTGATCTCTGAGCTGCTGCTTGCTTTTTCTTGTTGCATACTTCTCAGGTAATGCGAAAACAGTGGAAATATTTGGGTGTAAGCACATATGCTTGTCCCGTGTTTTAAGGGGCATGATTTTCATGAGTTTATGTTGAGAATCTGAAGATGACCTAAGGTCATCATACACTGCCTGCTTTTGTAAGCCATCCTGTAATTCCCAGAATGACTCTGCATTTTGAAGAGAAATGTCAGGACTTCTTTCTTCCAGGAGACTAAGTTGGCATTCAAAGTTTTCCAGTTTGCCTGCCTAGATTCCTCCCCCCACCCATGAGCCCTCGGCTCCAGCTAGTCTGGCTTCCACTCTTTACTAAAACCAACACACCTCCCTGTCTCTGCGTTCTTGCTCTTCCCTACTCTACAAATACTGTTCCCCATGCTGTTTCATCATCCCAACCCTTCCTGTTCCTTGCTTCAAAGCCTAAGACCTATTCCTCACAAAGATTCCCTTCCCATTCCCAATCCAAGTTCCTGTTCAATGCTGACTTTCATCATGACTATCAGTTTGGTTCCTGTTCTGTGAAATTTTTTTTTTTTTAAAGATTTATTTATACAAGCACTGGGTACAGTCAGAAGCACGGAAGGTGAAAGAATTCACCAGAGCAGGGAGCAGAACAGGCAGAAGGATCGAAGTACACTGCTGAGGGGAGCAGTGGGCAGCAGGAGAGGTCTGTGCACCATGTTGGACCCTCGCAGGCAGCCGGGGATCGAACTGGTGCTGCAGAGGCAGTGGGCAGCTTCGCAACCCAGAGATTAACCCAGCACAACCCAACCGCTGTGCCACCAGGGAGTTCTTAACCAGAACTCAATTTACTTGAGTGAAAGAAAATAGGTCTTATTCAACTTTTTGTCCCCAAAAGTTTCATATAGTCACATTCAGTAAATATTATTTGATACCATTATCAATAGAAAATAAGGAAAGCATAGGAAATGGAGTTCAATTTTTTAAGGTGTAAGAATGAAAGGGAAACATGCAAGAAAAAAATCAATTGTGATAAACGGAAAATTGATAATGGCTGAATTTTGTACTTTTTATAATTTTTACTTCAATAAAAAACCAAAATGGTGTTCAGCATGTGACTATCTTTAAGGGAGAAAACATGAAATGTTCTATTTAACCTTGTTAAAGCAAATGTGCTGATATTTCTGACCACACTTCTGAAGTCTGATGTAAGTAGACATACCTATATATATTTCATAGAAGCAATTGTTTATGTAACTATGTCTTGGGGAACTATAGTTAAGCAAGTTATTTTTCACATTACCATCTAAAGGCAAGCACTTAGCACCTGAAAGTGATCTATAAATAGATTTAGCTGTTACATCCTTAAATATCTAATATTTTTAAAGCATTGGCAGGCAGTATTGAGAAAATCATTCATTTTGGGTGAAATAATGCAGCCTTGTATGTCAAAAGTAGTAAAAAATGATATATGCTGTTCCTTCAAAAGGAAGTAGTATATCAAATGGCTGAATAGTACGGGTCGAACAACTCTCCAGCTCTCTGATGTTCCTAGCAATTTGCTAGCTAACCTGTAGCGTTTGGCCTATTTCAGAGAACGAAAGGATTTTTTCCAGAACCCAAATGCAGGAGGTCATCCACAGCCCACTTGAGGGTTCATAAGCAGCTCAGGGGATCTAGGATTCTAGGATATGATTCTTCTTGGCATCTGACTTAGAGAGTTTGCCAGGCTTAAATACACAGTGAGCAGATCTTTCCACAGGGCACTCCCAGTGGGGCAGTACTAGAAAGCTAGCATTCTGCACTATCAAGAGCCAGTAGTAAAAGGTACCTTGTTAAATGTGATCTCAACCTTTAAAGAAACAAAAGACTACTTTTAACCAGACATAAACTGCATTACAAGACAGGGAGTAGAGTTGAGGATAGGTCTGTGGGACTGCAAAGGGAAAAATTAAAGAGTTGGGAACAACTTTCCAGACCGTGTCTGGACCAGGTCTGTCACTGGAACAGAAAGAAAAGGGAGGATGTGAAGAATGATGAAATACCAGAAGGACTTGGGATCAAAACAACCCTAAATGAAAGGGAAAGACTGCAGGACAAAAGTTCATGGGGAGGAAAAAAATGAATTCAGCAATAAACCAACTTAGAGGAGTTCAGCTGAAAACTCTGGAAGGACTTTGGAAAAAATGAAAATACAACTTGAAAGCTTTTAGAGATCTAGTAGGATGAAGTGGATTTCTTCCCATATTCGTGGCGGTAAGGACCTTGTTATTGCAGGTTACAAGTGAGATAAAGGTGTGTTCAGATTCGACATTCCACTTAATCATTTAATAAGTGATTGTTGAGCATATTCTACGTGCCTGCCTTGTGCTAGAGCTGGGTCACAGGGTAGACAACACCAATGCACTCGCACTCCCTGCTTTCCCAGAGTGAAAGGAAATTGAATCTTAAACCATGAACACAGAGTGGGAGGAGAGAGACCAATAACTGGTAAAAGAAGAGGAGACACTGGAATGATTTTTTATAAGCTATAAATCAGATTACTCCTTTGCTTAAAACATCTTCATACTTCTAGCTGTCCCTGAGTTGAAATCTGAACTCACCATGTCCTTCAAGAATTGCATTAGCAGGTCTGAGCCTCGCTGTCCATCCTTATTTCACATCTCACTCACGCTTGCTCACCATTATCCACCTTCTCTTCTATTCCTGAACACACGCATCCCTTCCTGTCTCAGCTTCTGCCCAGCATCACAACACTCAAGGGTCCACTCATTTCCATCCTTAATATGTACCCTCCTTAGTCACGTCTTCTCGACCCAACATTGGAACCACCTGTCTACATCCCCCAACGACCAAACAACTTAGTTACATCACCCTACTTGATTTTTCATAACATTTATAACCTACAGGGCTGGCACTTGTTTGGTAATTCACCAGTCAGCCCCACGAACGCAGGTCATCTTTCTTGCAGCACCTGGCACTTCGCTTACCATCCTGCAGGTTTTCAGTTAAGTAGTTGGATAAACAATACATATTTGCCCACACTCTACCTTCTCTCCTTTTCTAGTGAGATAGATTGTGACTTATCCAAAATGGAGGCTGTCTCACAGCCTCTCTGAACCTCTCTGCAGCTTTTTTCTTCGCTCAGCCAATGAAACCCTGGATCCTGGACAGTACTTTAGAAAGTTCCCTTTTCCTGAGGCACCGCAATGGCTCATGTTATGCAAACGCTTATGTTTTCATGCCCTCTTAGCCTTGCCACATCCCTCGGCTTGTGTTAGCCTCATTATCATAACTCTGAAACATAGCTCATTTTCCAGATATATTAATTTATGCATTTGTTAGTTCAGCAATTATCTGAAAACCTCACAGGTAATTCAGGTAGTCGCCTTCACTCCCAGCCAAATGAGAGCCCCTCCACCACTGCAGTTCCTGCTCAGTGCCCACGATGGCTACGCAGAGTCATGGAACAGCTCCTGCTCTCTGGTGCTGGGCCCCCCAGCTGAGCAGCATCAGCCTGGGCTATGCCATGGCGGCCAGGTTTGATTGCCTACCCTGGCACTAGTTAAAAAACAAAAAGAAAAACCTATGGCAGCTTTGGAGACATGAGAATAAGGTTTGAACATAACCTGCGCCAGTCACACAACAGAGCTGGCCTGGCGCTAGACAGTGCAGGGCAGGTTGGACGCGCCACTGGGGTTTGGGTTTTGAGAATGGACCAGGTCCGCCCTCCGACTGACACCCGTTATGTTCAAGCTCCCACAAACTGTGAGCTATCCCCCAAGCTTTGCTGTTTCGATCAGGCTCTGTAGCACGAGGAACACAAGATACGCTGTGAGATGAGCTCCAGGTGCCATCTTCTGCTCCTCCGGGGCTTCTGGTCCTGCGGGACCCTGGAGCCCCTGGAGCCCCGCCCAGCCTGCTTTATGTCAATCACCTGCCTTCCTGACGCGCGCCTTGCGTTTCACAGCCAAGAACTACGACTGCGGAACAGATTCTGCCTGGATTTCTCAGTTTCCAGGCCCTTGACTTGTCCAAATCTTGAGTCTCCTTTTACCTGCCGGTCCCTCTGACCACCCCCAGCCAGTCAGCACCCGCATCCCCCACGGTCATGTTCACAAGGGCGCTCTCCCCGCACCCTGACCGGCTCACCTATGACATGCACCTCGGTGGCTTATAATCATGTTTTTATCATGGGTTTATTAGCTTAGTACCTCCCCTCCCTCCCCACCCAGGAGATTACTAGTTCCATGAGGAACTATTATGGTTTTTTATTGCCGCCGTAACAAGTCACCACAAACATATCTCAGAACAGCACAAATGAAGCATCTTACCTTTTGGGAGGGCAGAAACTCAGGAATTCTCATTAGGTCAAATTCAAGGTGTCGGCAGAAACGCATTTCTCTCTGCTGGCTCTAGAAAACTCACTCAGTTTTTGGTCTCACCAGCCTCTGGACGCCACATCTTTGTAGCTCTTCCATCTTCAAAGTCAGGACCAAACAGTCTTCACGCTGTCTCGTCAGTATTTAAACGCTCGCCCCCAGCCCCGCCCCACCTCCTGATCGCATTGAGCCCACCTGGATAATCCAGACTATGCTCTTTATCTTCAATCAGCTACTCAGCAACCTGAATTTCATCTAGAGCCTCAATTTCGCCATGTAACGTGACATACTGACCCCAGGGATGAAAACATGGACATCTCTGGAGTGCTGTCCTATCTGCCCCAGGAGCCCTCGTGGTTTTGTTCACCAATGTTCACCCTACACCTGCACAGTACAGTGCTTGGCACAGAGGAATGATACATATATGATATAGGCAAGAAAGTGTATGTGGGCCAGGGGGAGATTAGTATTACTACATGGTTGTGACGAACAGCATCATATTTTTTCTTTGAAGTAGTTCATAAGTCATATCTAAATGTTGCATCTAACAAATGGAAAGTTGTGGGGTGCCCTGTGTCAAGGGCACTCTAGAAGGGGAACCTAGGTTGGAAGACTGGACACGGGGTGTTTTAACTGTGTTGTTTGGTGTCGGGGCCAGGAACGGCCACTGAGCAGGTTTTCTAGGATCCAGCAGACCAGGGAAAGGAGGAGTCAGAGTCCTCAGTGGCTTTTGCAGGTCTTTTATTGGGATTTACCCGGTACGGAGCAGGCAGGGGTGCTGGGGGCCGGGAGGCTGGCAGGCCTCCCGGCCCCCAGCAAGTATCCACTCTATCTGGGCTCTCTGGCCTTCTCTGCTTCTCTCTCAGCTTCTGCTCGTTCTTTCTCGGCTTCTCTTTCAGCTTCTATTGGCATCCCCATGACGCCGCCCTTAAAAGCCCAGTCTCAGCCCAGGTGAATCCCATCTACCTATGCTCACACCCTACTCCAGGTGTCCACCATCAGACATGCATTCAGGACTGCAAGGATCCATCATCTATCCTGATGGCGGGAGGGCAGAAAAGCCTGACATTTTTCCTTACCCTAGATTTGGTCTTTGGCTGCTTTTCCTTGCCTTGCCCCTACCTGGTGTTCCCAGTAGGGCTGCTGTAAGGATGACGGTCTTGTTCCTTGCTTTGTGTGGCTTATCAAAAAGGAGAACTAAGAATACTTCTCCCACCTTCCATTTCTATCTGACCCTGAATCCATCCCAAGGCCTATGAATTCTGTCTTTGTATTTTTTGGTTCCTATCTCCTTCTTGTGACTCCCAGAGCTAAAAATCCTACCTCCAGCCATTATGCATCACACTGGTAGTAGTACACGACGCCTTAAATTGATTCCTGAACTCCCACCACACTGTACCTGCCTCCCACCCAGGTTAACTGGCCTTTAGGACTTGTGTCCAGGTGCAACATATATACACACACAATGTATACATATGGTACCATACAAACTACAGTGCAAACCAACATTATTATTATTAATATTATTGTTGTTGTTGTTTCTATTCTAGGATCTGTCAGTCCTAGCCTTCAGTCATACATGTGATAACCACATAAAGTAGGCCCTTATCTGTGGAAGTGGTAAAACTTGGGCTGGGCTCTAAGGGGTGGCTCAAGACTTAGAGAACATCACTCACGGGAAGGGCAGGGCCTTCCAGTCTATTATTATCAAGGATCTGGAGGCAGGCATGTGGGATAAGTGGAACAGTATGTCTCCATAAAATAGCAGGAAATCAGGTGGTGTTGGGCTTTGTCTGCTTTGTAGAGGCTTCTGGAAGTTTAGCATCAATATTTGGAAAATGGACATTTAGGGGCTAGAAGCCTTCAAGCACTATCTCTACCACTCACCAACCACACCTACATTTCCCAGCTGCACAACAGAGGTAATAGTAGCACCTTTTCACAGGGTTGTTTTGAAAATGAAGATGATGCATTAACTCTCAAGAGTACACATGGCCAGTATGTCCTGTAGAGTGGCCATCATAATAATGGCCTCACCATCTTCATCATCCCTGTGCTGTGATCGTTTTTTTCCTCTGGCACTGGCAAGTACTAACGATTTGTGATCTTTGAAAATGGGAGGTGAGCCGGGCTAACGTGATGGAAGTCAGGCTTTGAGGCCGTGTCTCTGAGGAGCTCAGCTCGTAAGAGTTCAGGTGAGGCAATCTCGCCCAAGTTTGTGGGTAGAGCAGGGACTCAGCCAAGAGCTAAAATCACAAGTGCCAGACAGTATGAAAAGCAGGTAAACAAGGCCGGATAATCCCACAGTGATCAAATATTAGGGCAAGGCAGGGGTCTGGGAGCCAGGGAAACCTCACAAGTTTGGAGGCTTGAACTTGGCAGTAACCAAGCAAAGGGATGTGAAGCCAGAAGTAAGTCATGATGGCAAGGAGAAACAAGGTCAGGGGGAGGCCAGGGTCTTGGCCTGAAAATAAGGCGGAGGCATGGTGGGGGGTCAGTGCGGGGTCTTCAGAGAGGGGGTGCTGAGGCTCTGCTGTGCGGGCCTAGATGCTTCCTTCAAATATCAAGGCTGGCTGACTGCAAGTGAGAAGAGGGAAAGCAAGCATGGGAGGAAGAAAACAGCACTGCTCCCCAGAACTGGCTGTCTGAATGGAAATGGCTCGGGAATGGAGAAGAGGTCCAGCTTAGATTCAGAAAACATCATGAAGCAGCAAGGGAAACAGGGAAGAATACGTGGAGCGAGGTTCTCAAATCTGAGTGGGCATCAGAATCACCAGGAGGCCACGTGAAACCTTTAACATTCCTTTGGTCGGTCGGGTGTGAGGCCTAAGAACTTGCACAGGTAGTAACACTTCCCAGATGGTGCCCATGCTGGGCAAGGGCCTCACCTTGAGAACCTGTTTTAAAGAGGGCGATAATACTATCATCCAGAGACCGGACCTCTTGGTATATAGACACAATGGAATATTATTCAGCAATCAAAAGAGATAAACTCATGCCATTCGCAGCAACATGGATGGAGCTAGAAGGAATTATGCTCAGTGAAATCAGTCAGAAGGAATAAGAAAAATATCGGATGGCTTCACTTCTAGCAGGAATATAGGGGAACCAAATAAGACATCAGTGTAAAAAAATAATAACAGTACGAAACACAACAAAGCAAAAACAGACAATTATAAACCAGAGACATCCTGGGCCTCCCCGGTGGCACAGCAGTTGAGCGCTGGGTTGCGAAGCTGCCCACGGCCTCTGCAGCGCCGGTTCGATCCCCGGCTGCTCCCCGGCCACCAGAGGAGGGTCCCACATGGCGCGCAGACCTCTCCTGCCGCCCGCTGCTCCCCTCAGCAGTGTACTTTGGTCCTTCTGCCTGCTCTGCTCCCCCGCTCTGGCTCTGGTGAATTCTCTCACCCTCCCGCGCTTCTGACTGTACCCAGTGCATGTATAAACAAAAAACAAACAAACAAACAAACAAATAAATAAATAATGCCTCTTTAAAAAAAAAAATAGAGACATTCTGCAGGGGAGGAGGAGGGAGAGGGAACAGAGGGAGGGAGGGAGGAGCACAGGGGTCTGAGGTGATGGTGCACAGGTGCATTGGTGAAGGAAACTCTATGGGGACTACACCTGAGGGGGTGGGGGGAAGCAAATATTGTTTACAAATGAACAATGATGTAAAAAAATACTAAAAAAAAATACTACCATCCAGTGACATAAGGAAAAAACCACATCAAATGTTTCCAGGCAACTGCAACTAATTACAAATGACCCGTAAGAAAACTTCAGGGAGTCTAAAAGACACCCCTCTTCTCGGATGAACCCCCAAACTCTCAAGTCCAATCTGTTTCAAAGGCTTTTAATTGAACACTAATCATCTGAAAATCTTGCTGCTGAGAATTTTGGATGGGTCCCTTTCCTCTGATCTTACTCCACAGTGTGAGGACATTTTACCGCCTATGACCCTGAGTCTCTCTCGTTCAGGGTGAGCTGTGCACGTGGCCCAGGTTGGCCAGCTAGTATTGCCTGCCCCTTAATTTGCAATGATGTAAAGAGCACCTGCAGTTAGTGGTGATTAGGGAACTGGAAACTGTGACTTTAAGCAAAGACTTAATGAAACCAATTTCCCAACAGGCAGGTGATACAAACAAGAGTTCAGTTCTTACTGCATATTTCAGGGCCTAAAAAACACCAAACTTTAAATAAAGACCCCAAAACACTTCTAATATTAAACATTCATTTTCCAACCCCCTTATTCCAATTCCGGGTGGCAGGTGGTTGGAGCCTTTTCTGGCAGCACAGGGCTCGTGATAGGAAGAGACCCTGGACACCCCATCCTTCCTTTGTAAGCACTCACGTAAATGCCACACTTGTTGGGGCAAATCGGACACAGTGAAAGTAGCAGGTACACCTTTGGGATATGGGGAGAACCTGGGGCTCCCAGAGAGAAAACCCACACAGACATGGGGAGAATGTGCAAACCCCACACAATGACCCCACATGGCAACTGATTTTTTTCCTCATCAATATTATAACAAAATGACATTCAACTGAATGATAGTCAGCTAAACAACTATGTATGTATATTCACACAATGACCTGCTGTAATAACTAATCAAACTAATCCTTTTCTGATCATGTGAAGATTATCTGACCGGAAGGATTTCTATGCAGGCAGCTCCTGAGCAGTAGAAAGGGAAGCATCCTGACCAGGCACACAGTCTCTTTGGAGCAATGTGAGGCAAGGTGCCAGCCAGCCTGGGAGAAGGCGCAGGAGAGGCAGCCTGAGTCTGTGCACAGTCACTTCATTAGCACCAGCCCTGATCGGGGGCTGACATCCCACAGTTGATGTCCTTCCTCTGCCTTTGTATCAGTTTCCAAATGGTGGGAGGATGGCCTAAGGGCAGGAGATCTGTGGGACACAGGCTAAGTTGGACTTCCTGTGTGTTAGTACTGTGGCGGTGGTCGGTTTCATGCATCCTTGCGAAGAGCTACTCCTTCATGCTCCTGAAATGCGAGGGCGTTTTTTGCAAGCTGAGCAGAAAGAAAACTAATTAAATTCCCTTCTTGTACCCCCATTGGCAGAGAGAGTCTACTGCTATTTATA